CTTTGAGTAGCAGGTGCAGAGTATGATCCAAACCAGCTACTGTTGTTGACAGAATAATTTCTCATCATATAAAGACAGTTGTTGCATTGGCTGCTCCCAAAGAGAAAACCTGCAGGCTCACTAACAGCTCCTCACTGAATGCAGTAACTTAATTTGCTGAGATAGGTACTGAATAAACAAGGTTAGAAACTGAAGTGCTCTGGACACCTGTGGAGCAGACGCAGTTCAGAAAGTTTTACTGTGCAGTAACATTTTTTTGAGGATCACTTCTAAAGATGAGAGAACAATTCATCCTCTGAAGCATTAATCCTGTGAGCAATCTGATGAGACTGCTGACCAAATTGTTACTCACTGACATTTCAGAGATAGGTATCTACTCACCAGAAACCAGGATTACTGTACAGAGGCCAGAGAAAGCTTGCCAGGTCTCAATGCCTTTCAGCCATTACTAGCAGTGTTGTGATTGTGCCTAAATGTGAAAGGCAGTGTATCACATTACCTCTGCTGGCTCCAGGGTTCCTTCGCTTCCTGTACTCCATTAATGCATCCACTGAATGCAGTAATAAATACTGCATTTTTCTCTGCCCACTGCTTTTTAATTTGCTATTTAGAAACATTATTAGTCAAAATGAAGGTATTACAAACAATCCCACCCACCCTGCAGCACTAATACACAACTAGATGGACGCACTGTTTTTCTCTTGTTTCTCAAGTGGAGCAAATGGTGAGGTTTTTCCTCAAAAGTTACCAAGAAAAAGTATTTTCTTTTTTTTTGTGGGAAGGAGAATTTCATTCTGGCTCTTGAACAGAAAATAAAATATCTGGCAATACTAAAATAATTGATTTTGAGTGGATACATCTACCCTAAGTTTTCTTTTTTTTTTTCCCTCTCTAAAACTCCTCCATTTAGGAAAAAGATTAAAATATTTTACCACTTTCATCACGATTCAGGAGCAAATCAGCACAGACTGATGTCTTGAACCATCCCAAGGCACAAAACTCCAATTTCGTAACAGCTTTACAAATCTTCTGCACTGTGGTTAATTGGTAAACACTGGAACTTGAACCAGGATTGAGTATTCTGGAATCTGTCAGAATCATTCCCTTTCTCTGTCCTGGTACTTCTCTTAGTCCCTGAAGAAGAGACCTGGAGTACAGAGTCTGTATGTTCCTAATAATTTCTACATTTCTGACCAAGTGTTCCCAAAGCTACCAACTTTCCTTTTTCTTTTTTCCCCACACCAAACAGTGATATCCATCATTTCATCAAGTTGCAAGTTTAAAATATTATTTTTATTAGGTTAGAGACAAACAAGATAGCTTACTGGTTTATGCTTCTCTAACTATAGCATTATAGCAAATTTAAACATTTTCCTAGAGATATATATTTGTGTATTTGATGTATAATGAGTATGCATGAATGTATGGTAAACCTACCAGCATTGACTGGACTAGGCGATAACATCGGTTTTCACAGACAAGTTAAAAAGAACTATACTTCCAGACTCAGATTCAGATGTTCCTGAATTCACTGTGTGACAGCCTACCAACAATCCCATAGCTCTGCAATACTCTGGATGACTTCTTTTGATACTTTCGGTTCTCTTGTAGGAGGCTCATACCATTTCACTGGAAGATTTTTCTGTGGAAAAGCTGAGTTTGAGAGCCTCAAACAAATCTGTGAAGAGTTCTTCCAATTGTATAATGATGAGCTTCATGGAACACCACCCTTTGCTCGAAGGACACATCACCTGCAGTTTTACCTGTATGCACTTTTACTGTGCTAGTGTTACTGCACATGTTTAACTTCTTCATCAACGACCTGGATGAAGAGTTAGAATGTACCCTCAGCAAGTTTGCTGACGACACCAAACTGGGAGGTGTGGTAGATACACCAGAAGGCTGTGCTGCCATTCAGCGTGACCTGGATAGGCTGGAAAGCTGGACAGAGAGGAACCTGATGAGGTTCAACAAGGGCAAGTGTAGGGTCCCGCACCTGGGGAGGAACAACCTCATGCACCAGTACAGGCTTGGGGTGGACCTGCTGGAGAGCAGCTCTGCGGAGAGGGACCTGGGTGTCCTGGTGGACGACAGGTTGACCATGAGCCAGCAGTG